CTGCACGTACGAGGTTCTTGTGAGACCAGCAGCGAGCAAAATCCCATGGGAAGTCCTGTGTAGTTAGTTATTTCCTTTCCGGTGATTCATCTCGTTTATCCCAAACACTGACATTTGGAAAACATTCCGAATGCCAGGTATTTCCTCACCTTCCAGCCACCTGTGCCAAACACATCCTTAGCACTGATAAACGTGTATAGGAAGGCGGTGATCCCGTATTACCCATACTGGATGAAGGCTGAGCCTCTTTTCCTCACCCACCCACACAAAAATGTTCACTTTGCAATGAGTGATATAAATTAACAGATCCTCTGCATCATTCCAAGAGAAACATCAGGAGTTCATCTGAGGCCTTAATCTTGCTGCATTGCAGTTTGACAGCGTTCCTCACTTTGAAAATCTGTAATTTCACTGTGATACCACATCTTGGTGTGGAGCTAAGCTGTGCCTTCAGAAGGAAAGGCCGTCCAGCAGTGTCAGGCCAGAGTCATTTCAGCCCCAGATGCTTTAACTACAAAAGAATATTTTCAAATCACACACTTCTGATGCGACATATGCATTTCTTGGTGGCATTTTAGAAGCACAAAATCTGATGGCCCAGTTCCAAAGCATGATGTGTTCAGCACCTTTGACACCCGATGAATCCAATGGGAATTGAACATGCTCAGGATTTAGCATAACTGAGCAGAAAAGCAACAAACATGTTTACATTTAAAAATTAAAACCCTGAGCTTCAGCCAGGACAAGATTTGAATGGTATACTGGTTTTTTTCCCCATATAGAGACTTTACTCTTTCGGCCTTTTTTTTAAATTTTTTTGATGCCTTCACTTCAAAAAGCCAGAGTCTCTTTTTAGGCTGCTATATAGGATTGAATTCATTGCCCTTTAAAAATGCTAGGCAGAAAGCCTTTTCCTTAAGTCTGGAAGATCTTTTTCTTCACAGAAAGCTAGATGTAAAGAAAGTAAAACATCCTTATTTGTCAAATGTCCTTTCCCCCCCCCATATGTAAGGCCTCTCTCCCCTTTACTGCAGATGTTCTTCACTAGAGACAAATTTTTTCTAATCTCTTAAAAGACTCTTTACCTTTCTGTACACCTATGACAGAACTCATCCTCATTCCTGTCATACTTAGTACCTTCCTCTGTAAGAGAGAGAGGAATTTGGAGAGGTTTTAGTTGTTTGGGGTGTTTTTATATTAAAGTTAACAGTTTAAATATGTCAATATCTGGTAAACAAGAACATGCATGTTTTGGAATACATATTTTAAGAGTCAAAGGCTTGAGCTGATTGCAGCTAGTGTGCTGCTGCAAAGACCTTTTTGGCATCAAATCTGCTTTTAGTTGAGCCAGAGCAAATCTTCATCAGCTTGCTTTTCTTCCCCTTCATTCTCTGTGCTCCCATTGAGAGTTATTGCAAAGTGAGAAAGATATTTTTTACATTAACTGTTCTGCTTCGCCTAAGAACCAATGAAAGATTTACAGGTTCCAAGATTCCCGCTTTACTATTGTGTCCTGTAAGCATGGAAACTGATAATACTATAGAAACCATGCCAGCCTTGGCTTTCACCATGACCTGCTTTCCACCAATTTAAAAGCAGTCAGTCCCATTATCTTAGTTCTATTAGCGCACTCGTCTGAAGAATATTGTCATCATATCCACATTATTTAACTTTTTATTACTTCTAACCAAATTCAAACTCAAAACAACTCAACGCTTGATTTCAGTTCCTGCCTAAAACTCCCTCTCCACTACTGTCTTTAAAATTTTAACAAAAACATCATCTGACTGGAGCTCAGACAATAAAAGAGGGTCCATCACTCTACCAGGTTTATTTTCCTTTTTATCACCTACTTTCTGGAAAAAAATATTTCTACAGTGAGGAAACACTGGCTTCATCCCTTGCTCATCTAAGCCCAGTTTAAAAACAGTGGAGCACCTGAGTTTGTGGACAGCCAATCTTTCCTAAAGATGGGTTATATGGCTGTAGCAGCACCATGAAAACAAGCAAAAAGGAACTCACACGGCTTGTACTTTAAAACATCGCTTTTAAATACTTCTGTGGTCGGATCTTTAATTAGTCCTACTTTAGTGAGAAATCAAACAGATAAAACTTCTCAGCATGAAGTACAGCAGTGAAAACGCTCTAGGAAAAATCTGTGACCAAATTGGGAACAACCTCAGAGCAAAGACATGCTAATTATATAAAACCATTAAAAAACATTTAAAAATATTGATAAAATTTGGACCTCCTGAAATTTTGCCCAAAATAACACACAGAAACACTAGATTAAATCTTATAAAAGTTTCAGTGCAGCATGATGTTTGTTGTTTTCACCATTTTTATCACTTTTAAGGACTTCTCCTCTGTGCCTACCAACTTCTCTCCTGATTTACAGACACTGAAGTATCCCTGAAGGAGAGCCTCAAGCACTGCTGCACAGCCCTGCTCCAGAAAAGGCTGGAAATGCAGATCAAACTCAAATCCAAGTATTTCTAGAAAGCTGAGAATTTGTTTGACCTAAAAGCTAATTGTACAGACATTGCTTGTCTAGTGCCCTTTCCTTATTACATTAAACTTCACTTACACACGAGAGAAGGAAATTGTAATTCACCCTCATAAATTATCTTCCATTTTCTCTCACATGAAACAGTGGGAAGTAATCACCCTATTTTGCTATCTTGATATATCTTTAAAGGTACTCATTAAGAGAAACGTGCATCCAGCAGGTGAACAGAGATAACTGGTCATAAGTGATGACAGACAAAAATATATGCAAGTATCTGATCTGAAAAAGGGCCAAGTTGGAAGCCAGATGCTCACTGAACTATCCACTTTACTGCCTTGTTTATTCAGCTCACGGCGGGATGATTCAACGCATCTTTACACGCAACTCCCTATTCATACGGCATCTTCTAGTCACAAAACCAAGCATTTTCCATTTCTTTTTCTAAACAAAGGGTAGAACAGTGGAATGGGAACTTGCCATTCAGCAGCGGAAACTATTTGTAAAGCTGGGAAGCTGGAGACACTAGGAAGAAAAGGCTTTAATGAAACTGGCCACTGTGCGTGCCAACTGCCAAGACTTCTTATGTATTCTTCCAAGGAACACTGACTGAGGCTTTTTCTGTATTTACTCTTTGCATCCCAGTTATTATAATACTTTGAATGATGCACAAGAACAAAATTCATGAGCAATGCCGTGTTAGAAACAGGCAGCCCTTTTTTCCCCCTGCAACTAGTGTGTAGCTACACTCAATGACCCATTAACTTATTTTTGGTTCTGTACAAAGCCAGCACCGAGACATTTGCGACTCATTATCAACCAGGCACAGGAATTCACCACTAGAGTTTCAGCTGATCCAGATCCAAAGGAAATCCCCATATGCTTTGCTTGGAATTTCTAAAATACAAGCGTTACAGTTGTTGCCTGGTAAGACAACAGTTTCCATACACAAGGGAGGATATGTTTATGTTTATGTTTTTGGAGGCTTGTAGCTCAGCCAGAGGCAGATAAATTTCCCTAAGGCAGCAAAAGCTCTATCACTGTCACCCGGATATGAACACAGCACTGTTTCAGGTCGCTGCTCCAAAGTGTGGGGGCAGTAGAGCTTCAACAGTTTTTCAGACCAACACTTAAGCCTGAAACCCTTTTTACTGTTGCCTTTTTTCCATTAGGATAGCCCACATTGTGTGCAAATGAGATGTGCTACACAAACCAGCCTTGCTCCCTACACAGCCTTCATTCATTCTTTCCCAGAGCACAGCCTGTCCTGCGCTGTGGAGGAGAAAAGATCTTGTGTGTTCAACTTTGGTGTCCCCTGTGGCACAGGTTCCCAAAATGAGGCCGGAGCACACTCAGCAGTGCCCTCAGCAGCCAGAGGTTACTTAAGTAGGCAACACAGCATTTTACATCATACCAGCATTTGAGTGACAGCTAAATGAGCCGAAATCTTGCCTGGAACATCATGTTCAATGACCAGTCCATTGAGAAGGACCTTCAGCATTACAAGAACCACACAAACACTCCACCATCACCCTCTCTTTTGGACCAAGACAAAAGTTTACCTTATTTCCCTGCCCTTGTAAACAGCACACTGAAAGCTGGAGAGCTAAGGCAAGCACATCACATTTTCCACTCTGCTATGGAAAAAGCAGGTGACTATGTAATTAAAGATGTTGCGATAATACACTAGGACTGCTTACAGGAAGGTGGAAATTCTGGTCTTTCGTACCTTTTAAGGGCTTGACTTGGCAATCTTAATAACATTCTTTGAATTTTTGAAGTAATATAATTACTCTCAATTAATTAAAATGAGGAAAGAATGAAATATCCTTTCACGAGACACTGACATGAATAATATTCAGGGAGCAGAGTGGTGACCACTACTGTACTGCTACTTATTATAACTGCCAGGCAGCAGCATCTGAGAAAGTTTCTCCTTCTACCCAGGACAGGAAATAATTGTCTGACGTTCATTGTCAGAAGGTAACTAATAGCAATGAGCTGTAACAGTAAAGTGTGGCTGTGAGGTCCTGATTATATGGAATAGGAACACAAGCTTCAAAGTGACCAGTGACTGCCTTGCAATTCCCCTGCACTGTTTCATAACTCCATCTGAGGCTCTCAGTCACAATCCTAAACTCAAAAGATCCCTGGGGATGTGGGGAGACCCAGGTAAACTGCCTGGGGAGTCTGGGAGCACTTGCCTCTGCCTCCCTCCACTCCTGGCAGCACATCCTTCATGAGGCCATCTGGGATCATACTGTGGCTCACCCTGGAAGAGACCTTTCCCTTGGCAACAATCCTCTGATGGAGATCTTGAAATAAAAAAAGCCCCAGATTGCATTCTGCTCTCTGAGCAGAAACACAGAAATCTCTCAACCGTTCCCTTTCACAATTCTGACCAGCACTTGGAGAAGGCTAAAGGGATGGTATCTGGATGATACTTGAGTTCAACTTAAATATCATTTTGTGCAGTGACTCCAGAAAGTTTTACCTCTGCTCCTGAGTACTTCTGTGTATGCTCAACAAGCTCAGCTAAGCAGACTTCATTGCTCACTGGCATGGACTGAAAATGAAGTTTGAAGATCTCCCTGCGAGTGGCTGCATCTGGCAATGGCACGTAGATAATTCTGTCTATTCGTCCTGGTCTCAGCAAGGCCTGCAATGAAATCACAGGAGAAGTTAAAGCACATCAAGAGAGTAAAAACCACAACTCAAAACCAACACCACCACCAAATAACCAACAATTTCAGCAAAAGCAAGGTGCACAAGAAAAGACAGTAAGGCTACTCAGCTTGTGAAATACCAATTAATGGAAAAAAGGAATCATAAAGGAACTATATGTTCCTAAAATAATACTTTCAGACTTGTTGCAAGGTGTGCTGGAATGTTAGGGCTTGGCAGACGGACAGGTGGCAATGGACACATCCCAAGTTCAGATCTTCCATCAAGAAATCAAGAGGAGAAAAAAAGGATTTTTGAAGTGAAGCTTACATTCTGAATTCATGTTGCTTTATCCCAAATTATTAGAGCTGCATGTGCTTACAGAGGAACAGATTATTCTGACAAGCATTTTATGCAAAATAAGGTAACAACAGACAGAGGCCAATGATGCTCAGCTTCAAAACAGGAGATGGAAGGAAAAAATTTCTAGAAGAGAAGCACAGCCTTGGGGCAGGTCATCGGGGAGGCTGTGGAAACTCTTGTCCTCAGGGGTTTTATGGCTCAGCCAGAGGAAGCCAAGCTCTCCCTGATCAGGTGCTGGCAATAGTCCCACATGTGCAGAAGGGGGATCACAGGGCCTCTGGAAGCTCTCTCTAACCAGCATTTCTGTGACTCTGTACTTTCTGGACAGGGTCAAAAAGTAAACATTGTCTATATATAAAACAGTTATATCCGATATACAGGAGAAGCCAAGCTCTTAAATACATGAGAAGAGAGGAAACTCATTTCCCTATATTTATAAAAAAATCTTTAAGATTCTTGAAAACCATCTACAGTAAAAAAAAGTAAAAACCCTCCCAGCCTTTCTTACTTGACATATGAAAAAAACCCCATAGCACAATAATCCTGTGCACAGCGAATGCACATAAATAGTATTTAAACTATTTTTTAAGAACTGAACAATGTTTATAAGATTCAGCATGTAACCTAAATTGTTTTTATGTTATGGTTCTCCCTTGGGCAGAGCAGTTTGAGTTCCAGATGACTAGAGATATTGCATGGCTGTCCTGGGCTGTCAGCCAATAAGTCTTTTCCCAGCCTGATCATGTCAGTGAAAGTCATGCTGAAAAAATAGTAGGAAAGAGCTTTCCTTCCTGCACAGCATTGATCAAGTTAACACCCTTCCTAGAGTTTCTTTAAAAAGACTGTTGTGGTGCTTCAGAGTGGAAAAATGTATCCTGAATGTTAAGAGATGTCTTGTTATTTTTAAAACAGAACATGAAAACGCTCAGCAGAAAGCACACGGCACCATGGTGTGCTGCAAGGAGCTGTGTAAGGATAGAAGAAGGAATATATGTGCTGGGAAGACCAAAAGGTCTGTATCCATCCCTGTACCCTGTCCTTGCAGTGGTCAGTGCTAGATCCCTACAAAAGAGAGCAAGAAACAAGTTGTCAAGAGCACTCCTGATACATCCACCAAAGAACTCAGCTCACTGCTGATAACTCGATGAGTGTGTAATTCAGTGCCTAAATCGTGTGTGCGTGTCAGGATGTTGCCAATTTTTGTCAAGGCACTTGAAAGAGAAATTTGCATGTTTCAAGACTAGGCTTGGAGGGAGAGGAATTATTACTGCAATTGTATTCTGCATGCTCTTAAGGAAATGCCCATAGCTAATTCTATTATTTAGAAGAAGTAAGAGATATTCATGTGAGTATGGTGGTGTGCCTCTTTTAAATCAAGGCAGCTTTCATCAGGACACCCAGATAATTGGAACATTTTCTAGAGCCAGCTTAGCTTCCCAGTGATGAATGACCAGGGCTTGTTGTGCAAGTGGGACAGGAAAAATGCCTGGTGCCAATGAGCTGGGGGCAAGCACTCCATTGCCTCGCACTGGCTTTTGGTTCTGAGACAGTCTCCTAACACGACAGAGCACCCACGCTGGCAAAGCACAACTGCAGATGTAACACAGAGAATATACTTTTTTTGGTCAGTTACTAGAAACTGTATTTCCTCCAGTTTGTCCCCAAAGCTTTGTGTTTTATATATAGTCATAGCTGGAGGCCCAAGTTTTAAACACGCTATCACTACTTTCTTGCTACGATCAGGCCTAGGGACCTTGTCCAAGATGGCCAGATGTGCTGGGAACTGTACAAAAAAAGCACAAGTCAGTATCAGCAGCGCTTGCTGCTTATATTGACACAGACAAAAAGGAGAGAAAATATTCTGTAACCTCAGCTTGAGACAAGAGTCAAATTCCCTCCAGCCCCCAGAGACAAAAGCAGATTGAACCGAGCGCTGGTCTCCACCAGCCCTCCCGACGTGGCGACTGTGGGAGAACCTGGGCACAGCTCTATTGCTCCTTGCTCTGTTGTCACCACCTTGTCCCTTTGGCAAGCCACCAACCCTTCACGCTCCTGAGGAACTAAAAGCAGAGGGAGAGGATGAGGTAGGAGCCTGTCTTGATCCATCCTGTGTTACTGGAGGACAAAGCCCGGGTGAAGCAGCTGCTCTGCTGCCAGTGCTCAGAATGCAACTGGAGAGCAACGGCAAGTCAAGGCCACTCTGGTTTGCAGGGCATCGTGTTGCTCTCTCAGGTCTTTGGTCTCTGTGTACTTCCCATGGAGGTGCTTTTCCTTTCCGGGCAAAATAATTCAGGAGTTAGGACTGAGCTCCATGTAGAGGTCAGCAATAAGGGTAAAAGGTACCCCTCATGATGTTTTTGCTCACTGGAGGACAGTGAGCTCTTTCTGGGTTGCTTAGGGGAGCCTGCTGTGGCACGTGGTGTGCACACCTGTGGCAGCACTGTTGGCTTCAACACCAAGGCCTTGGTCATGCTCACCAGCATGCTGGCAGCAGTGCTGAGTTTGAGGGATGCTGGCACCACCTTTTTCCTCACCACCACTTTTCACACAGACCTAGAAGCTACATCTTTTCTCGGTGGGATGTTGTATGATCCAGGCTCCGCTATGCGAAGGGTTTTGGAGATGGGTACTCCAAGCATGCCATGACTTTCACAGGCCGTTCCAGAAGATGGAGCTTCAGTCTTGCAATGTGCATTTGGAAAATTCTGAGGAGAGTGATAAGGACAACGAGGTCACCTCTGGACCAGCCCCACTGCCCGTGGGTGCACTGGGATTCGGTGACGACCCACTGGCGAGGCACAAGGTGAAGGCACCAGGATTGATCCTCGCTGTGGAGCTGGAGGAGAAGGGATTTAGCAGGAGCAGGCTGTGTCTTGGCTGAGCAGGAGGAGAGGCAGGTGGGGGAGGGTGAAGAGTTGAAGTGGGGCTGCAGGTTCAGGCAGATACAGCTGCACAAAATGAACTGCTCGCGGCTGGGAGATGCAGAAGCGATTTGAGGCGAGGAGCACAGAGAAGGTGGGAAGTTGATGGGGCCAAAATTAATTGATGTGTGCGCAGAGCTACATAATTCACTGATGTCGAGATGTGAGGGTTGCATAATTTACGTCGGCCAGGAAGGGCACAAAATTAAGTAATTGGGGTTTTGGTAGAAACCAGAATACTTCAAAACCAGAACACTTCATGCCATTAAGCAATTCTTTCGCAGGTTTATGTAATTTTTTTTGGTTTTACCGCAACAGTTATGAAAAGGGTCTAAGTGCACATGCACTGAAAGGTTATTAGTGGTACATAGGTACAATGTTCTTCTGGGAGCACTAAGGGAAGTGGGATAATTGTCATGTAATACTTAGTATCATCAACGGCAAAAATACATTTTTATGAAGAAGAAAGTACTTTCAAATATACATGGTTCATTTTTTTCGTAATTAAAATAAGAGTATTTCTTCAAAATACATCATTGAAAAAGATAGCTAAGTCAAAAATGTGTGTTTTGTGCGCAATTATGAAGCTAATTATTTCAGGAAAGAAAACTTAAACAGGTAAAGCTGGTAAAATATTTGTGGTTCCTATTAAGATGGACCAGAATTAACCTTAGGGCTTTGCTAATTTTCCTCCTCCTCCTCTTTTCCTTTTTTTTTTTTTTTACAGCATCTATCTTTAGTTAGCTTTTCAAAAATCACATTGTCAAAGAAAGCAGAATTACAACACTGGCAGAAGCAGACCCAGGTGATAAGCTTTCTGTGGGATAGGAAAAAAAATAGCTTTCCTACTGACATACCTCCACAGCCATGCCTAATTCACCAAAAGCATTTTTAATCAGATCTTACAGCAAAAAGTCACGATAAACTGTGCAAGAGGGTGACCTGACATTAGAAAAAATAAATATAATTAAAAAAAAACAAACAACAAAACAAACAGTAAATGGCATATTGAGGTGTGTAAGAGAAAGCAAGTCAGTTCAGCAGGTACCAGAGCTCATCTGGAGAATCAGTGCTACTGCATGTTCTCTGCTGCAATCAATCTCCACAAGCACGAAGAGATTTTTATAAAACTTTTCTTTCAAGTAAGTACATTGCTTTTAATGCAGAACCTAAAAAATGCAACTAAAAGTTTAATTTTTGCCTTTGGAGTCCGTTGGCATTAGACCACTGATGAAAATGAGAGGACCGGAAATAGTTAATTTGCAACCAAATCCTTCCAATTTGAATTAACAATTGTTATTTATGAACCCTAGCTGTGGCCCCTACTTACACAGAGCCCCACTACATTACAAGAGATGTTCTGTATCTTGTAACCTCACTGGGTAATGCAAAATTGTTTTACTTTCATCATTACAGTATTTGAGCATTTCTAAAGCATTTTAAAGTCATAGGATGAATAGAATCAGACAACGGCCTGGGTTGGAAAGGACCTTAAAGATCACCCAATTCCAACCCCCCTGCCATGAGCAGGAGACCAGGGTGCTCAGAGCTCCATCCAACCTGGCCTCGAGCATGTCCAGGGCATCCACAACTTCCCTGGGCAACCTGTGCCAGGGCCTCACCACCCAGCCATAGCCTTCCTGTAGTCTGTGCAAGCAATAACTGTGAGATGCTTTCCATGGTTTTGCCCACATGTCAGGGCAGATGCGTT